GAAACAAGTGGAATTACCCTAAGGGTGCATGTGTGAATGGTGTGTTTGATTTGCATGCATTTTTTCTTTGATTAGGGGTTGTCTAGTTGTTGTTTTTATCTTTCCATACACACCTAATTACTAGCATTTGTACAAAAGTAATAAAAAGTGCAAAAAATAAATCCTACACTATTACAACCATATTGAAGTGCATAGAAATATAAAGGCAAAAATAAGATAAAAGGAAGAAAAAATGAATTACTTCGATTTGGGTTGAAACACCCTTCGATTCTGCTTCTGTTGGCCTCCTTCGATTGGGGGTTGGCACCAGTGAGTTCATGGCCTCCGATTTGGCTTGGCCTGAGGCGTGAGATGTGGTCTTCGATTCTGCCTTCTCTGTCTCCTTCGACCGGGGCCTGGAATCAATAGGGTGCGCCTTTCGATTCTTCCTGGAAACCAGTGGGGTGCAGCCTGTCCTTCTGGGGCTTGGAAGTCAGCATGGAAGCCCAAGGCTTCATTTCATGCTTCTTTCCCATGTCTCTTTCATTTGAACTTTTGAACATCAACATGGCTTAAGGCCATGCTAGTATTTCCTTAGAATCAGTTTAATATTTAATACATACTTAAGTAAACAAGAAGCAAAACAAAAGGGGTTAGCTTTGAAAACATATTAAGGAGGTGGAAACGAAAAGAACCAGAGTGTTATGTACATGTTTTGAAACGAAAGGGAAAATTATTCACATACTATGCCATGAAACGAAAGGTTCAAGGGTAAGAGTGACTTACCTTGCTGCAGCCTTGAAGGTGAACTGGAATTTGAGTGGTGGCCCTGGGTTCTCCTGGATTCGAAGGGAGGGGTCTGACGGTTGGAATTTGAATGCTGGATTCAAAGGAAGAAAGAAATAAGTCTTATGTTTCTTTCCAAATTGGATTCGAAGGATACTGAAGAGTGTTTGTTCTTCAGAATCGAAAGAGGGAAACGTTTGGGATTTTGGGTTTGTTTTTCACAAGTGTTTGAGAACCTATGACGTTGGAGAAAATTTGGAGATTCGTTCCTTTGGTCCCAAAATCCTCCCTTTACTTGTTCATGGTTCCTCTATTTATAGAGGAAATGCTTGGGAGACGTTGAAGTAGCCAGCCTTGCAAAAACAATAAAATATGAAACGTGAAAGGTACAAGTGGGGGCCTCTTGGCAGTTGGGATGTAGAAGATGTGACTTATGCTTCTGGCCCTGCTTTTCATTCAGACAAAATTCAGGTTGGAAGTTGCTTTTGTGATAAAAGTACTCTCTATGAAAAAGAAATACTAAGTAGCCTTTTGCTATCTTAACCAAGAATAATATTATCCAAAAGACAAAGTTTAAAACCCTTGTACAAGCCTCTGATTATATAAAGATTTGGAAGCAACATAGCCTAGCAAATGAGATTTGGTCTTGAGTCGAATGCAAGAATGACATCGAAGCACACCTGTTCAAAGGAAGCCTTTGCTTCAGTCGAAGCTTGTGGTCAAAATAAACTTACTCGATGGAAGCTAATGCCTGATCGAAGCTTGGATCGAAGTAAACACATTGCCCAATCGAAAGCTCGTGTTCGAAGGAAGCATATTGCCCAATCGAAGCATGTGGATCGAAACAAACATAAAGGGAGTCATTTCCTTGTGTCTGTTTAGCATGAGGGAAGTTCCTGGCTTCTGAATCGAAGGGCGCTCTTTCAAGGGAATCAAGAACTTAGTCAAATCTTGTATGAAGATACTCTTGGCTCAAATGAAGCTTGTATAAAGAAAAGTCTGTAAGAGGCCCTTGGTGCAAATGGATTCGAAGGATGCATAGAGATGGTTACCTTATCCCATCGAAGCTTGTCCTAACGAAACAAACATGCAGGCAGCAAATGCCCAATCGAAGCAGGCTTGCAGGCAGCATATGCCCAATCGAAGCAGGCTTGCAGGCAGCAAACTTTTCCAAATCGAAGCAGGCTTGCAGGCAACTAATTTTGAGCAATCGAAGGATTTGCCTTGCAAGGGGCACGTGTGGCCAGCATGTCATTGCCTTCGATTGCAAGCATGCAGGCAACACACTTGTCCAATCGAAAGGCTGAATTGAAGGAAGTGCAAAGTTCAATCGAAGGGTGCTGAATCGAAGGAGGCCTATTTTTCTCCAAATTTGTCAAAATGTTATTTTTATCTGTTTTCTTCCTTTTTGACAGTTTCCTTTTAATTTTGGTACTAGAAAATCCCAATGTACTTGTGCAAACTTGAATCCTAAGGATCTTTGTGAGAAAAGCCTTGAGAATTGAGAGGGAAAATTTTTGGGTACAACCCCCTCCCCTAGAATTTGAAGTTTCTATATAGTCACATATTAAGTTTCACCTCGAACACAAAATGACATAGTGGCCTCAAACATCAAAGGTCATTTTTGTAAATTAACACACCTATTTACCAATCATCTAAAAGTATTGAGGTTATTTATTATTTCTAAGCTATATGGCGCATAAAATCACGCGTTGTTTAAATGATTTACTTTAAGACTATACTAACATGTCTAAAAACTTAAGGTCACACGTTATTTAAATAATTTACTTTAAAACTATACTAACATGTTATATAAGGGGCTCACAATATGCATTGTAATTCAAGTATTCACATTGAAGATTTTAGAGTTCTAGGTTAACAAGGAGTCATTGTTATTTACGTATATCACTATTTTTAGTAACCAGACATAGAAGGTTTGTCTAGTTGAGTTGTAAGATTTAACATCACTCATAGTTTTGATCGAGGTTGATCATTAGGGTTTAGTGATTGTAGAGTCCAAACACTAACACATTGGTGTGTGAGAAAGAAAGTGTGTAGGTTCTCATATTTAGGAGCAGTCCTAAATAGAAAGTCATTGGGTAGTGTTAGGAAGAGAGATATGTGTGATTTCACTAAACTGGGTTACCAATTATCTGTATTATTTATAGTTTTTCAGCCCCATGAACTTGTACAACTCATACTATTATAATTGGGTTGGTTATGGTTTAACTTGTTGAACCTGTTGTCGAAGCATCGCATTCGACATTTGTCCCCTGAGGAACATAATTTCACAACCCTTTCCTGAACCTCCAACATTTTAGTCCACTATTTGTGCCCATACTGTCAAACCAACTTTTGTGAAGAGGTCAATATACTCGCACAAGGTTTCCTTCTTTTGTAAGTGGCTCCGCTAAGCACAAAAATAGTTATCAATTGTCGCTTTCGAGTGTAAAATTGGACAGTGAATATCTCGTAGAAGTCCTTCCATGAATCTATGGGAGGATTTTAGACACCGTCATCGTAGCTCTGGCCAGGGTTAGTGCAAAGAGCTTGCATTTCGCCGTCCCTTGGGCATGATAGTTATCCAGCATATTGTCTATATACTCAACATGACTGCCTGGATCTTCAATTTCATAATAGCTCTGCACGTTTGAAGGCTTATCCAAAGATCTTGGGATCCTACTATCAAGGATACAGACAAATTAATAACGAGTTCATCTTTTTCTACAAATCCAGAGTGTCTATGCCATATCTTTCCATTCTTCAATGAAGGTGTGTCGGTGTGATGTGGGCGAAGTACCTCGAGAGAAGTATGGTTTCTGTTTTGTCTTTGGTATCGATCACGATCTGGTGACTTCAAGACTTCTCCTCGTAACATAGTTGTCCCGGTGTGAACTGGCTCTAACACATCGACCTGATCACCTCGGGAGGCTTCCTATCATACAATATTGTCTCTCTGTGGAGATTACTAAAGATTCTTTTTAATCTTGAGAATCCTTTCATCCAAAAATTATGAATTTTGTTGGATCATTAGATTATAGACGTTGTTTAGCAAGTTTGTGGCTCCTTGTACCAAGAGATTCTCCTACAATACTTGAAGGCTATGGAACATTGCATCTCTATGTATAACAAGTAAAGTAGGGGTTGGTGTAATGTTTCGCCATGGTGAAGTTGTTGTATGGATTTTATGGGTGGAAAACGGGCATGGCGCCTCGTTTAGGTCCGCCCTACAAAAACACACAAAAAAGGGCGGGACAAACAGACATTGTTGAGAGTGCATGCCTAAAATCTTTGCCCACTAGACAAAAAAAATGAAGGTGGGTGAGACGGGCCTGCGAGCAATGCATCTTTAACACCTTAAAATTGTAAAATTTGATGTTAATGTTCGCGCTCCTAAAAAATATGATGGGGGCATATTAAAGAACACGAGTTTAAAACCTTGATCTATCCCGTAAAAAAGTGCAGATAAAATAGGCATGCCCAATGGATCGGACCCGTTTTATCACCCCTAATAGATTTGAAGAATGAAAAGGCCTGAAATGTTACTATAGACAATGCTACTATTCTATTGAGAACTAGAAATGATAACTGGTGTAAGAAAGTTATGTTTTGTTATAGTGGATTAGTAATTCCAATGCAATGAAGAGGGGTCTGACCTATAAAGACAACAATAAAACGTTCAAGTTAGTGAGAGAATATATCAAACGATGATTGATGTATCAGAAGGCACAATTACCTACTTAAGATTATAACTAAGATCTACCTGCTCCGCATGCCTTTCCGCTCGAGAATGGATGTTGTGTATTTCTCTATGGACCTTGTGAACGGTCCAAAAGTTGGTAAATCAACATATCATAATAATTAAAAATAGATAAAGTGATATAAAAGGGGACTTTATAAATAGAAAAACTTAAATAAGAGTAGGAGTATTGTATTGGCAAGAGAAAAACATGTGCAAAGAAAATGCATGTTTATATAGTATGTATGCAACAATTTTATTTTGATTGTGTTGGTTGTTGCATATAGTTTAATTGGTTGGAGACCATAAAGACACAATATTATTATCAACCAATTTTCCTATAATTAGCAAACCAATAACACAACAAAATGTACATACTCTTGTTTCTCTCTCCCTCTCTCAAATTCCTACTTTGACTGATTCATCTTTCCCTCTAATACCCTTTCTCTCAAATTCACCTAATTAAACAAACCTTCGTGCATAATCTTTTTCATTGATGTCATCAGAAAAACAAGATAAAGATGAATCATCGACATGGATTCTTGAAAGCATTGAGATTTCTCCTGCTGTTGTGGAAGTTTCTAAAAAGGATGAAAATAAGGAAAGCAGGGTTGTAAAAGCTTCATTTAATGAAGCTTTTGTCGACAACGGTAGCAATGTGAGACACAGAAATAACGATGGAAGCCAAATGGTTAGGTTGCAATCAGGTGCTACAAGAGGGCTTAAGAGTTTACGTTTTCTTGATAGAACGATTACCGGCAAAGAAGATGATGCATGGAGGTCAATTCAGAAACGTTTTACTCAGCATGCAGTTGGTGGAATGCTGTTCAAAGACAAATTTGGACAATGCATTGGTAACAATGATTTATGATGTTTTTTAGTTTTTGTTGATGATGTTTTTAGTTGTTTGTTTGTTCTAAGTTTGTGTTATGAATGGTGTAAACAATGTTGTTTAGGTATGGGAGCAGATTCAAAGGATTTTGCAGGAGAACTGTATGAAGCATTGGCTAGGAGAAGGAATATATGTGTAGAAGATGGAATTACTTTGAATCAAGTTAAAGTTTTTTGGGAGGATATGACTTCTAAAGATCTTGAATCAAGACTTCAAGTGTTCTTTGACATGTAAGGACTATACATACACACATGTAACTTAATTATATATATATATATATATATATATATATATATATATATATATATATATATATATATATATATATATATATATATATATATATATATATATATATATATATACCTTTTGTATGTTAATGATGGTGAAATTCCATGATCCGATATTCGTGGTTTGAACTTTGAACCCTAGTCTTGTAGCAGCTTAAACTCTTTTAACATTTAGCTCAAACTCAACGAGCTACCGTTTGTTGGGGAGTTTCTGGAGCGCCAGGAGTGTCAATGGACTAAACGTTTAGGATCCAAGAGACTTTGACATCACATATCTATTCAAAACCTTAAGGCAATGGGAGTATGAGTCATTTCCCTTATAAATCTAACATTTCCTCCATTTCTATCTATATACCTTTTGTATGATAATGATAGTGAAATCCGTGATCCGATATTGTTTGTTAGTGTTTTCTTCTTTCTTCGAGGTTTGAACTTTGAACCCTGGTCTTTTACCTGCTTCAAATCTTTTATCCTTTAGCTCAAACCTTCAAATCTTTTATCCTTTAGCTCAAACCAGATGAGCTACCGTCTTTTCTTAATTTATGTATATACCTTTTGTATGATTATGATACTGAAATTCCGTGATTCGATATTGTTTGTTGGTATTTTCTGTTGGAATAATATAGCAAGTGTGAGTAAGTGGGGAAATAGTCCCACATTGGATAGGAATGTGGAGACTTAAGCATATATAAGTGAGAGAACTCACTCACCTATCCTTAAGGTTTTTTGGTGGAGAAGTGGTGTGTCTCTCATAAAAGGTGCTTGTTCCTACACTATGCATCAATGCTCCTAATAATCTCCCCCCAACATTTTCTTATTTCTTCGAGGTTTGAACTTTGTCTTTTAGCTGCTTGCTTCAACTCTTTTAACATTTAGCTCAAACAAGATGATTGAACGACTTTATATCGAATGGAGTTGCATAAATGAACTAAAGTCATTTTCAGGTGTGACAAGAATGGGGATGGTAGGTTATCAGAAGAGGAGGTTAGGGAGGTGAGTATTGAGATCATGTAAATTATGATTTTACCTTTTTATCTTCTTTTTTCCTATGAAGTACTGACACTGTTATGGACACGATACCTTCTGACACATACATCGGTAATTATTTTAGAAATCAAAGTGTTTGAATGTTATCGCAAGTGTTAAGGCCGTGTCCATATCAGACAAACATCAATGTGTCGCTTCTACGTAGTTTTTTTCTTCAAATGATGTGAAACAGAATTCTAACTGTTTTTGTGTAAAAGGTTATAGTGTTGAGTGCTTCTGCAAATAAATTGGGAAATCTCAAAGATCAAGCTTCTGCATATGCAGCTTTGATCATGGAAGAGCTTGATCCAGATCATAATGGATATATAGAGGTTAGATTTAATAGCCGAAAAGTATTAATCTTTTGTTCGAGTTTTGTTGAAACTTTCGTCGTTTGTATACTTATTATTTTGTTGTTTGTTTAAATAGATGTGGCAGCTTGAAACACTACTAAAGGAAATGGTTAGTGCAGAAGATGGCACTACAAAACTTAGTAACAGAACCGAAACATTAACTCGAGCTATGATACCAGGCAAATACAGAACTCCTATTCGAAAATTCATCTCCAAAACAACAGAATTTGCGTACGAAAGATGGAAAAAAATATGGATAGTCGTTCTTTGGTTAACCGTAAACTTGATCCTTTTCATTTGGAAGTTTCTTCAATACAAGGAAAAACCAGCATACGAAGTCATGGGATCATGTGTCTGTTTTGCAAAGGGTGCTGCCGAGACTCTCAAATTCAACATGGCGCTAATCGTCCTTACAATGTGTAGAAGAACACTTACAACGCTAAGAGGATCGTTTCTTAGTCACATCATCCCTTTCGACGATAACATACACTTTCACATTGTTATTGCAATTAGTGTAGTTATAGGGACTTTCATCCATGTGGTAATCCATGTGACTTGTGATTTTCCGAGAATTATTTCTTGCCCGACCGAAAAGTTCATGGCAACACTTGGATCCGCTTTTGATTATCGCCAGCCTGATTACCTTACCCTTGTCGAAAGTACTCCTGGTGTAACTGGAATTTTCATGGTCTTGATCATGGCTTTTACTTTCACATTGGCAACACCTCATTTCCGAAAAAGTGTTGTCAAGTTGCCTTCGCCATTGCATCATCTGGCCGGCTTCAATTCGTTTTGGTATGCTCATCATTTGCTTATTGTGGTTTACATTCTCCTGATCATTCATGGCTACTTTCTATTTCTCACCAAGGAATGGAAAGACAAGACGGTAAGCGAAGCTCTTGTAACTTTTTAATCATTCAAACTACTTAATGCATTGAGTATACTAGTGTTGTCAATTGCGGATTGCAAAAAATAGCAGTTTGTTCAAATTTCGCTATCTGATAACACCTTCTACCAAGTAGCATATCACGAAACAATGACGATAATCTGTTGTTTATGCAGACATGGATGTACCTTATAGTTCCATTAGTGCTCTACGCATTTGAGAGAACTCATCCATCTCTTAAGGGTAAAGATCACCGTGTGAGCATCATTAAGGTCTGTTTCGACAGCTTATTCTTCTTCTTGAATTTTATTTATGAAGAAACATGAAAATAATCTTACGAGATGAAAATTTCAGGCGATAATATACACAGGAAATGTGCTAGCGCTATACATGACGAAGCCCTCGGGATTCAAGTATAAAAGTGGAATGTACATTTTTGTCAAGTGTCCAGATATATCTAGTTATGAATGGTAATCATGATTTACTTCTCACAGAAGTTACTTTTTCTGCAAAATCACTTTTACTTAGGATAACCAAATTTACTGTTTTTTACAGGCATCCTTTCTCCATTACCTCTGCACCTGGAGATGATTACTTGAGTGTTCATATAAGAACCTTAGGGGATTGGACTACAGAACTTAGAAACATATTTGCAAAGGTGATGTTTGTGTATAAAATATGCTCCCTTTAAAATGTTTGAACATTTTTAGTCCCTATAGAGCAGTGTAGTCAAGATCGAGTGCTAAATCGTAAGATCCTAAGATCTTACGTGCTAAGAATGCCAGAGAGTGCTACAATCAGAGAAAGATCATAAAAAAACGTGTTAGGTCTTTTCGTTGGGCCATTGGGTCCTTCGGTAGGATCTTACCTTATGTGCTAACAATCTGAGTTTTACGATCTTTCACAAGACGACCGATCCTACTTAAGATCTCGTGCTTGACTACATTGCTACATAGGAACTAAAAGCCCCTGTTTCTTATTAATAAAAGATAGGACTAAAAATTGATAAATTTTTAATCGGGACTTGACTTACAAAATAGATATTTTATAGGGACTAAAAACATATTCAACCACAGAAATATATGATGATTGTTTAAGAACTAGTTGTATACTATTTACTATGATTTTTAGACATGCAGGCTTGTGAGCCTGAGAGTGCACAACCAAGAAGGGGAAGCCTTATGAGGATGGAAACTAGAGCAAATTCAAGTTTTGACCAATCAAAACCAAGGTAAATAAAAAAACTTGGTTCTAATTTTTCAATAATGTTATATGAACATGCAATCATATTATTTTACTCTTTGTAGCATCAAATATCCAAAGATCATCGTCAAAGGACCCTATGGAGCACCAGCACAAAGCTATAGGCATTATGATGTACTCTTGCTCATAGGTCTAGGAATCGGCGCCACACCAATGATCAGTATTCTAAAAGATATCTTGAACCAGATGAAGTCGGGAAGTCCTCCACAAGTAAGTGACAAATAGTCAATTCGGTCGATACTTTAGATTGAAGACATGTCTGACACAGACATAGTATTACTAATGTCTACATGTTATTGTCGTGTCTGGTATCCGTGTTAATGTCATGTCTAACACCTAAGTTTTATATACTCTTTTGTTGGTTGTATATTTATATATTATACACAAAGTACTAATTCACTGCGTTAACGTGACAGACACCTTTTGAGATGAACTCCTTCAATAGTAGTAAATGCTCCGACGAAGAAAAAAAAGGTCCTGAAAGAGCGTATTTCTATTGGGTAACAAGGGAACAAGCTTCATTTGAATGGTTCAAAGGTGTCATGGATGACATTGCCGAATATGACCGCGATGTGAGATTAAGTACCAAACTTTTTTTCCTTATTCGGATACCTCCGCATACACAAATATAGAAATTTAACGCGTATTTTAACAATGCAGGGTGTTATCGAAATGCATAACTATTTGACTAGTGTCTACGAGGAAGGCGATGCAAGGTCTGCACTTATCGCCATGATTCAGAAGCTGCAACATGCTAAAAATGGACTAGACGTAGTTTCAGAAAGCCGGGTATATCTCGATTTTGTTCTCATTTCGAGTTATTAACATTTTTTCATCATGCAACCAAAGATTAAGGTTTGTTACTATGATGTTACCAGATAAGAACACACTTTGCAAGACCAAACTGGAAAAAAGTCTTCTCTCAGTTAGCTTCAACGCATCAAAGCTCTCGTATCGGTATGAATATCTACAATGCTTAGTGAAATTCTAAACCTCTATTTGATTTGAGAAATCGAAAATTTTATGTGCTACTTTCTTGATTCAGGTGTATTTTATTGTGGAAGTCCTACTCTTACCAAAACATTGAAGAACCTTTGTCAGGAGTTTAGCTTAAACACATCGACACGATTTCAGTTTCATAAAGAGAACTTTTAAAGGGACAATTCACAGAACAATTGCATTAATTGAGAATTATCTGGTATCATCTTGCTTCATCAAGCAACATAACATTGTAGAATATTTTTGTATACTCATAGTGTTAATGTTGATAAGTTTTGTGTATGTAGCAAGATTTGTTAGAACTTGTGTTGGTTTTGCCTAAATCTTTATAGTGTTTATTCATCATTTATGTTCCTTTCACCTTTGTTTCTGTACTTTTTTATCGCGAAAAGTTCTCACATCTTGCTATAGTTAGGATTACTTTCGTTGGAGGTCGTTATCTTGATCCTACGCAACGTAGAGGTGTGCATGGTTACCAAATTTTAAGAATCAGTCCATTTTAATGGTTGTGCTTTTAAAACTAAACCATTTTTTATAATAACCAATTTAAAATTGTAAAATGGTTTCAATTCGGTTCAAAACCGGTTTAAATGGGTTTTCAATCAAAATTGATTTATAAAGAAATTGTATCTTTCTTAATTTGAAGAGACGAAAAAAATCCAGGTTAATGAAGGGAACAAGATGCAAAAGCATGTGTCATTTTTATACTATTATATTCAAACACCAACACAAATCGTTTTTCACAATTTTTTTGAAAAGCAAAAAAGTAAAATTCAATTTAAGAGTAAAAACATTACACTTTAATCTATGATAAAGTTGCACCAGAACACTAAAACTAGAACCCAAAAAAACTAAAACAAAACATCCTAAAACCAAGACAAAATCTGCTTCAAAACAATTGCTACACTATAACAGTTAAACAAAAAAACACAGATTAATAACCGTTCATCACAATTAACTTAACAAGTTCTTCTTCCCTTAACTAATCACCACTCTAATTAACTAATTAATAATAAATAAAATAAAATATATAAACTAGTTTTCCATTTCCAATTTGAATATTATATAAATTGGTTTACACGAATTTGAATTTCCTGTGCCTTAATAATATCTTATTCATTAATAATAATATCATATACATTTGGTTTTATGTATGACAATTGGTTATCAAAAATGGAAACCAGATTTTTATTTTGATATCAAAATGGATCTGGAGCGGTTCACATCCAACACAAATTGGATTATAAAAATTGGTGCACTGAATTTTTAAAATTGGTTCGTGTAAACCAGTTTTTTTGCACACCCCTAACGCAGGGTCGCCGGTCAAGAAACTACAGATATTTATAAATAAAAAACAAGTGTAGATGCTTTGCTCATAAAAGTTCTAATTAAGATGTGAGTTTTTAAGAGATTGCAGTGTGAATATCTGCATGAAAAAATATTAGAACAAGTTATAGACATTTTACAAGGACCTATAGTTTGCCTCAGAAACTTCATACAAAGCCCACTTTGTATTCCTTCAAAAACGTGGTTGCTTCTCCCAGACACTCATATAACCCAACAAGAATTAATTTGTTGAGGAAGACGTTTCGACATGAGTGAAGTTGATTGGCTAAGGTTAAGAACTTCTTAGCAATATGGAGAGATTTGTCGCAGAAAATGCACCTAAATAGCCATAGATCAAGAAAGGCTATGTGTTCGACATCTGATATTTCACTTCCTTCAGTATGATAATATTCCATATACTTGGTGAAGCCAACATGTTCTACTTTAAAGTAGATGGTGTTGTCAAATTGTACGGAGGGGTCAAAAGCTTTTCCAATGGGCCGAAGTCCAGTAATTGCGGCCACATCAAATAAAGTGGGAGTAATCATTCTACAAGGAAGATGGAAGGTGTTAAAGGTATTATCCCAGAAATACATAGATGCCATCAGCATGTGTTGGCAATAGCTAGTCCCAACCTTCCAGAATTAGGATTTTTGTTTTTCGATCTTAGCTAACCAGTCAAGATATTGTTTATTATCTTTTGTTGGGCAGGATCTAAATGGCTTAAAAATATCAGTCAATTATTCAAGTGAAAAGGTTTTTCTATATCAGCAGAACCTGAAGAAGTTCCTTCTTGAGAAATTTCTGCGTTAGATTATTTAGAATCTTTATCAACCTTCTTACCTACATTCTTTTGAGGCCTTAGTTTACTAGCTATGGGACTAGTTCCGTGATATGTAGGAAAAAATTCTTTGCAATTTACTTGGTCATCAGCATCAACTAGAGGACTCATATACCTAAGGTTTTATCAGCAAGAGTGAAAGGGATAATTACCTGGGATGTATAGATTGATTTTTGTTCTGCAGAAAGTATGGGTGTTGGCACAAATTCTTGATTTTCAACCATAATGGATTTTGATGCATGACCAATGGGTTTGGATGCAACATCTTTATTCTTCACGTCGTTGCTAGCCTTGGTGCTTTTCTTTATGGCTGCCATTAATGAAGAAGTTTGAAGGTTAAAAGAAAGAAGAAGAAACGTTCACAGATGTTCGGAAAACTAACGGAATTTAGAAAAATATTTTCCGAGGTTAAGAACAAGTATTTATAAAAGGAAAATGTTTCAGTTTTTTGGATGAAGTATAGTGGGACGCATGTCAACTTTCTATAAGCTAAGAAAGTGGTTACTTTTTGGGAAGCCACAATTTTTGCCTACATTAATATGGTAATGATGAAACTACATAGATGCACGTCTCGATGGGATGTTTGAAGGAAATAGTCATTATGACCATGACGTCATGAACAATAATGATCATCATGAGACAGTTGTATTGAAATTTGAGGCTATTTAAAAAATGTATATTTCTTCAGATGTTTCGAAATATACAATTTTGTGGGGAAATTTGTTAGCTGAAAATTTCGATAATAGAGTATAAAGGGTCAAAAGTCGAAGACTAAGTTATTTTTGAGAAAGATGTTTGATGGAAATTTCGATTGGCTGTTTGTTAAGTGGTCCGAATGATTGATTTTGAATGGATGGTCGAAGATCAAATACTTAAAGAAGATTATGTGTTGAAGAGTTCTAAGTATTTAAGTTTGAATTCAAATAGTCTTGTTGAAGTTTTAGCGCTCTCCGCGAATAGAGGGATTCAAAATTCAAGTCTTTCAATTTTATCCAGAAGACGCGTGGAGGTCTATTAATTCGAAAAATTTGCATGTCACGAACGTGACATCTAGATGTAGAAATACCGTTAAGGTTAAATTAGTATATATATATATATATATATATATATATATATATATATATATATATATATATATATATATATATATATATATATATATATAGGAGTCTTAGTAATAGGATTCAGTGTGTTCATCTGTTTGTACAAAATCTCACAAAACTCAAAGTATCTGCGTATTGAGAAAAGATTCATCTGAGAAATGTACGTGTAAACACCTTTTTATTTTAATAAAGATTATCATTTCAGAAATCTATTTTAGCAATTTACTTTTCGTTGTTTTACTGCATTTTATTTACAACTTTCGTAAACTTTACTTTAGAAAGTTATTTGAATCGAAACTATTCTTTTCAAAGAACTATGAATGTTGTCGAAGTATTCTTCGTTTCAAGAACAAAAGGCTTAATTAGAACACATGTCCTAGGATCAATCTAGTTAATTCTGTGAGTAACTAAAGACTTTTTGTTGTTTTTAGAAGACTAGCGCTTGTTTACCAATTTTCTCAGTAAACATACATGCGACTTCTTCTTCAATACGCATAACCAACCCTCCTACATCCGAACTCCTTAGTTTTTTTCCTTGCATTCTTATTTTGAGAAAATTTCCCGCAATCTTATTGTTTTTAGCAAATAATTACTCTACAGTTTTGAGGAAACTCTTGACGCTTTCACTCTCAGCAATAGAATTCATAGTCATTTCATGTATGGATATTTTGATCATCATGAGGCGCCTCCGATTAGACCAGTCTCATTTTTATACTTTAGTTTCATTTGGGTTCTCATCATTGGCGGAGGGATGTTATTCTCTCGGGGATAAGTCTAAGTCTATGCATCCTAGAACAATCTCCACAGATTCTTTCTAGAATTTAAAGTTCATCTCACTCAGTATAGGGATATAGTTAATCTAAGCTGTAAATTTTAGAGTGCTAGCACCGACAACTAGATCAATTGAAAAGAATAACAAACATACAACAACAGTAGTAGGCATGTCAATTAACCATATAGACACACACAATATTATTTATATGCAAATTAAATAAGACCTAAACAAAGATATCAAATGTTAACAATATAGATAATAAAGTATGAAAGATAGGAAAAGACTAGGGTTTCAATAATATGAATATCATAGCTTATACAAATAAGGGTTACAAGGAAAATATATAATAAAGACATAAATATTATAAACTACTCATAGCCCAATAAGTAAAAGTCCATTATACATTATCTAACATCTCCCCTCAAACTTACAATTCACATGAAGTATTCATATTTTATTTAACAAAATAAAAACATATTCAATAATAAATAATATATATCTAAAATTATAACATTGCTCTTCAAGATCAAGTTTGTTAAACTTTAAACTTATCACAAATTAATCCTAAAAATAAGCGATCAAACCAAAGTAACTAATATCATAACCATCAGAAAGAGAAACCAATAAGAAGAACAATCATAAAGAGAAATAACAACCAAAGAAAGAAGAATAAATTGAAGAAGTCTAAGAGAGAAACCAATTAGCGTCCAAAGAAAGGGAACAAACCAAACCAACAAATTAAGCGGAACCAAATCAATTTGAATCAAACTAAACTGAATCAAATCATATCAAATTAAACTAATCCAATCTAATCAAATCCAAATAAAACCGAACATAATCAATCCCAATCGATCCATATCAATTTCAACCAAATCTAATCATAATACCAAATTAAATTGAACCAAATCAAATTGAACCAAATCTATTTGAACCAATAAAACTAAATCAAATTCGATCAAATTGAATCAATTCAATCCAATATAATCCAAACCAACCAAATATAATAACAAAATAGAAGAACCAATAAGAAGAGGAAATAATCAATAGAAAAACCAAATAGAAGAACCAATAAGTAGAGGAAAGAATCAATATATATATATATATATATATA